AAACCCAAACCCAAACCCAAACCCAAACCCAAACCCAAACCCAAACCCAAACCACCCAAACCCAAACCCAAACCAAACCAAACCCAAACCCAAACCCAAACCCAAACCCAAACCCAAACCCAAACCCAAACCCAAACCCAAACCCAAACCCAAACCCAAACCCAAACCCAAACCCAAACCCAAACCCAAACCCAAACCCAAACCCAAACCCAAACCCAAACCCAAACCCAAACCCAAACCCAAACCCAAACCCAAACCCAAACCCAAACCCAAACCCAAACCCAAACCCAAACCCAAACCCAAACCCAAACCCAAACCCAAACCCAAACCCAAACCCAAACCCAAACCCAAACCCAAACCCAAACCCAAACCCAAACCCAAACCCAAACCCAAACCCAAACCCAAACCCAAACCCAAAGAGTAGAATTTTTCAAACCCATGATTCGAGACTAAGACCATATTTTTCCAAACACTCCAAAGTTAACATTTCTCAATTATCTCAGCAAGTATCAATATACATTCAATAATACTTCATAGATATGATGTCATATACATGATATACATGTTTTATCAATTTCATAAAGAGTAGTGAATATCATCACAACATATAAAGAAAATGTCAAAATTTTTTCAACGTTTCATATCACACCATGAACACAACAATACACAACACTACAAAATGATAAGACTCACATTGTGACATGACTACTATATGATAATGATATAATATATAACATTCACAAATAAGATCTTATCCATCATAACGTCAAACTGTATTCAAATAATGAAAGCATTACTCGACAAATACAAAAGATGGATCAACACAATCACTATCATGAGATTACACCCTCATACCAAGCATGTTTCTCCAATAGAATGAACATTCATACAATCACATTTCATCTCATTTCTCTTCAATAACAACTTTGAACGCTCAGAGGTTGAGTGATAGCAATGAACATGATACAACACTTCAAAATGATAGAACTCACATTATGACATGATTAATACATGATCATGAAAGAATATTTAACATCCATAATAAAAAATATCATAAACCAAAACATCAAACTTTAATTAAATGATTGAAGAATTATTCAACGAATACAATTAATTAATCAATATAATCTCTATCATGTGATCACATTATCATGATGAACATAAGGATCAACTTTAAAGATCTATTATACAACTAATTTTCATCACAATACTCCTCTCGAATAATTAACAACATTATAAAAAAGCAACAATTATACTCCACATCATCACAAAGTCATAAAATTATAATCAATTTAAATTTTATTAACAATCATTGCAATGATATCCTATCACTACAAAAACACTTCCAACATCAATTCAACGTCAAATAAGAAAAGTGTACAGAATTTTAAAAAAAATTTTTAATTCGTCCAATTTTCAAATATACAAACAATTAAATACTTCTAATATCACCAATCGATAGGAAATTTAATCTAGATTCAAAATTTATCATTAAAAATCAAAAATTTAAAAATTCAATATGAAAATTTTTGGGGGTTCGTATTAAATCTGGCGTTAACCAAACCCAACCCTCTGCAGATTACGAATACTTTTCCAACATCATGAAGAAGCAACAAGAAATGATGATCCAATCAAACTTAATTTAATGTTCATGCAACGTCGACATCACCACAATTTGTACAACACAACATCAAAATCATGACATTTCTCAACACAAGAACATCTATTTCACAATACCAGATGTCTAAAATTACTTTTTATTAAATTGGATTTGCTCTCACTTAATTCAAAAAAAAAATTCATCAAGATCGATCGGAAGAGATGTCGTACGAACCTACCTCGATTCAACTTGATCCATATTTATTTGTGAAAATAATCTCATATCTACCCTATTTCTATCAACATGTATTTAAACGAGTTTCAAAGAATATTTATGAAGCCGTTACAAACCACCATCATGATTCAATTATGGAAAATTATAATACCAAATCATCATTAGAAATTCATGATTTCAAGCTTGTGGAATTAAACGATTACTTTAAATACAAATTACATTTCAAGATGCAGGATCCGATAGAAATTGCAACCGTTCTGAAGAAAATGTATTATTTGGATGATCCTAAATTGAAATGGATGGATAAATATAGAGATGTTGAAAAATACCGGTCAATTTTGAAAAACAAGCATTGTTTAAAGATTAATATAACACTCATTGGTTGCGATGAAGTGACTTGTCAATATTTGAACACATTAGAAAAACAGTTCAAAGATCATTCTTTATTTAGCGTGGATTTCTATTTTTCACATTTTCATTTATCTGATGCATGGCAATATAATTTTTCATGCAGATGTTTGGAGACGTCAGCTTCTCACAGAGTGTCACGTTTTTACAATGAAGGATCTCGAACTCGCATCAACAAGAAATCACCCAAAATCACATCTGTGGAAGGATTTGAAATGTATTTTAAGAAGTGTGCGGATAACTTGGGGATCTGTATATCATTACTACCAAGACCTGCCATTATTTCACATCAATTATTTGTTACGACCTTTCCTGTCAATGTAGATTTGGATTGGAATCAAGCGCTTTTTGTATTTCGAAACAAAATTATTAGCACTTGTGAGCCTACTTTGTTAGCTCCGACCCTCAATTCTATGGACAAATATGAAACCTGTTCTGTGTATTCCTTTCTCTTTAAACCTGTGAAAAAACTAGCATTTGACACTTATTTGAGGACAAAAAAACCAAAGCTATTCATTAACGAGTATCAAGCATTTCTGAAGCATGAATTAGTGCTGAATTGTCTGGATAGATTTCAAGTGTTACTTAAGATTGCTCAAGAGAATACATATGAGGTGCAGTTTATTCTCTCAAAACAATTCTCAACGACACCTTTATACATCTTGGAAGAGCTAGATGCGTTGACTATTTCAAAACACAAAGAATTGTGTAAACAACTCAGTCTAATTCCTCCAAAATCGTCCAATAATGCAATCAAAAAGAAACAACTGAAAACTTTGGAAGAACAACAACAAGAAAAGGACTTGTCTTTTAAGAATTTTAAGCTCTTTAATTGGAGAAATGATTTATTGCTGAAAACGTTAAACATTTCTGAAGAAGAGTTTCACAACATGAAAAGAAAAGAGCAACATCGTGAAAGCAGAGCAACAAAAGATTCTTCATCAAGCCAAAAGAAAAATCATTCCGGTAGTAACCATCCAATGGCTATATTGGGAGATTTCAATACTTGCAAGGATTATTATTACAATGATTATTATTATTCACATCCATATTATGAAGAGGATGATGAATAAGTATGGTTATCTTCCAATAACACAAATATGAACCTGAAATGTCTTTTGAGAAATGAATAAGGGAATTTGTTGTGGCACAACTCTTTTGAGAGATTCGACATTATCAATAGTGACCACCTCTTCGGGATACTCTCACCTTCAAATTATACGGCTTGAACGTAAAATGAGGTGAGGCCAACACAGGATCCACATTTTCATCGTTGATTAACTCAAATTGATAATTTTGAAGAATTCGAGTGAGCACCATCAGCATTTCGTACAAGGCGAACTTGTATCCAATACATTTTCGGATACCCATGCTGAAAGAAACCAACGAATAATCAGAATGTCTCTTGTTCACTTCATCCGCCAAATCGATCTGGATGGAAGGTATGGTGCAATTCCCAAACTTGGTCATTCTTATTGGCTTGAGTAATCAAAGGATGAATAGCAGTACCTTTGGGAATTTCGAATTTTCCAAGTTGTGTATTCTTAATGCATCGTTTGGAGAGAGAGCCTACAGGTGGATGACAACGTAAAGTTTCATGAATAATGGCATTACAAAACACAAAAGAATCGTAGAGTTGGAAAGAAGGATCTAACTTGCCATTTTGAAGAACCTCGTCAACTTCTTGATGAGCTCGTTTCTGAATTTCAGGACGTTTGGCCAACTCATAAATTACCCATTGCAGTGTATTGGAACTTGTTTCCGTGCCTACATTTTGTTCATTTGCATCCCAAAGGTAATTGTCGATAGGGTGAAAATAACTCTCACTTACCTGCCAAAAAGAGAAGTAATGCATTCGATTTAACATGATCAGTAGTCAAATCATTATTTTCAATGTTTGCTTTCACCATCAAGCTCAACAAATCTTGTTGTGAAATCTCTTCACCCTTCTCAATTTTTTTCTTTCTCTCCACAATAAATTCATCCAAAGTGTCTGACCAATATTGAACATTTTGTTGGGCGCCCGAACACTGAAGGAGAATCTTTTCAAGCGAAGAGTTTTTCAATCGCTTCCTTCAACTGTTGACCTTTCCTGACAAGATTAAGGTTAGGATTCTCTGGGTCTGGAAAGATACAGATGGAGGTTCCAAAGACGCCTAAAATATTTCCATAATTTCAGTGTTAAAATGCTGACCTAATTCGGTGAATGGTAACTTACTCTTAGCCAAAACATCCAAAGTAACATTAGTGAAATCATTAAGGCGTCTAACATCATGGTTCCTTTTTCGTTTTATTCCATACATACCTCCCACTTGGTCTTGATCAACTGGTCTGTGGTTTTGACAGCCACTTTACACATGAATTCCAAATTTCCCCTCGAAAATGCAGCTGACAACACTCGATGACGTTTTTTCCAACGTTCAGTGTCGGGAGCAGATAGAATACTCTCTCCAAATATTTCAATGACTTTGAGTTTGTCATCCTTATTAAATAAATGTTGTTTTTTGGAACGTACCTCTTTCAACATGGTTTCTTTATCCCATATTTTTCACCTGAAACAAAAAAAATGTCTTTACAAGTTCCGTTAATGGTGAGTTGACACTCTCAACAATCGGAAAAAGCGAAAATACTGAACTGAGAGAATGAATACCTATCATCATTTTAATCCCGATTTATTGAATGTTTTAAATATAATGATCAGATTGTTCATGGTGGAGCATGGAGCATTCCGAACGAGATGGAACAAGATCATATTCGTGGAACCTATAAAGCCATTGCACAAGTATATCCTGAATTGTTGAGTGGAGAAATTGATGCGGAAGAGGCAGTAGTGAGAGCTGTGAGTTTTTAATGCTGCTTTGAAAATAATTTCAAAAATCAAAATGAAAATTATCATTCAATCACAATTTCACACAAAGATTTCAATTTTGGAGAATGATGAAACATTTGATGCCGGTAAAGGATCTTTTTTAAATTTGAAAGGACAAGTAGAAATGGACGCCTCTATTATGAATGGAACTACCATGAAATGTGGAGCTGTATGTGCCATTCAGAACGTGAGAAATCCCATTCGAATTGCCCAACGAGTCATGAATCAAACTGAACATGTGTTATTAGTAGGAGAAAACGCTTTGGAGTTTGCAAAATCAACATGTAAAAGTGAGGAGGAACATAAGGAATTATTTGTCGAGAGCGTAGAACAATTATTGACTACACGAGAATTAGAATTTTTAGAAAGTATTCGAAATAATGAAGAGTTTACAAGTAGGACAGTTTTTGAATCAAAAATCGACTCACACCCACCGCCTTCAAAGAAAGGTACTGTTGGATGTGTGGCACTGGACTTGAATGGCAATATTTGTGCTGGCACTTCAACAGGAGGGACTCCAAAAAAGGTACGTTTTTTAAGAAGATCGTAAGGTCATGTTGTGAATTATCAACCTCCTACAGTGTAAGTTTTCACGTAATAGTATCAAAAAATTTAACAAGTTGAAAGTACCAGGACGTTCAGGAGACACTGGGATCGTTGGCTCTGGAACTTATGCAGACAGCAGTGTAGGAGGAGCATCCAGTACGGGATGGGGTGAATCCATCATGAAAATTCAAATGACAGGAACAGTGGTAAAGTGGCTCGAATTTCATAATACACCTACTTTGCCAAAAACAGCATCGATTTATTCACACTTAAATTTTGAAAGCTCCTCAAACATTCAACATGACGCTGCACAAAAAACAAATATGAACAAAGAACAAGTAGCCATAGAAACCATTATTGAATATTTGGATCAAAAAGTTAATGGCCTTGGAGGGCTCATATTTCTTTCAAAGGAGGGAAAGTATGCTGTCTCTCATAACACTGATAAGGTAAGTTGAACAACACGTGCTGTATTCAGCGGTCTAGAGTGTCATCTTTTTAGATGAGTTTTGCTTTTGTCCCTCATGACACCATTAACAAGGAAACTGGCCATTTTGAAGTGGTTTCCATTGTTTCACGCAAAAAAGGGTGTTGATTTTGCTATGTGTGACGAAACAACACGCCTTTCTACCAGTGCCCTATACTCAACAATACGCTATACGTGTGTGCACAATTTACAATACACCAATTCCTAGAATTATGTTTGATTTATTATTTTACACATGTCATCACTCTTCATCTTGAGTAGAATTTTCTACTGCCTCGAGTTCTTGCTCAGAAATGTCATTTTGCATAGGTATTGGAGGCTCTTCATCCCCAACTTGTCCCTCTTCGGTTGGTGCCTTGATTTCGTCTTCCTCTTGATGGATGTGTTCATGTGCATCATCAAGTGGCTCCTCAGTTTGATTATGCTCCTGTTCGTCCTCATAACCATTTTCATA